GTAATTTTCACTAATATAAATGTCACTTGTTCAAATGGAAGGTTTTGTAAAATGGAAACGCAATATCGGTAATTATAATGATAGAGAAAGTTGATTTATGGCAATTGGTGTAAATACCAGCATGTCGATGATATAAAGTTCTGTAAACTTTTAGAAACAATAATATTATCAGTAAGGACCAAGAAGTTCCCCCGAATGATATTAGCCAATTATTTCCTTTATGATTTCAAAGAAAATAATATATCTCTTTTTTGATATAACACAGTAGTCTTCTGAGAGGACTATTTATAAGTTTCCAGTAGGAAAAGCATTAATTTCATTAGAAAATTGAAAATTTATCTATAATTCCGAAAGTATCTGTCGACCAGTGAAACCGCAACAGTATTGCTACTGTATTAATTTCATCAATCAGTTAGGCATATAATTTCAAGTACTATATACTATAATATACAATGTGTTTCGCGAACTCTGTCCACTTAAATATCTTGGTTACTTCAACCAGTACGAGAAAATGTTACAGAAGCTGTAAGGTTTAAGAAACCACAGAATATGGTATACATGGTTCTTGCAAGTCGGCGATTTGCGTATTCCGAGTATAAAAGTATTAAGGTGCCTCCGCTTCCTATCCATCGATTTCAGAATATTTCATCAAATGTACTTTTCACCCTTCGAATATAACATGTTGGACATCCATCGCGTTGATACCACGTCATTTCGAACATGCTTCATGGAATAACTCAAATATCTCAGCAACGCTAAGTTTTAGGATAAATACACCTTAGAACTTTTGTACTCAGAATACGCCATTCTATAGAAATCGAGCAGAAAAAATTGGACATTCCGTTAAAAAAAAAACAAAGGTAATCGCACTTGCAGGAATAACATTTATACCACATTTTATAGTTCCTTAAACTCTACAGCATCTATAAGTAACATTTTCTCAAATTGGTTGAAATAACCAAGATATTTATGCGGACAGAGTTCGTGAGGCACACTGTAATATTTCTATATACATACATAACACATATAAACATTGCAAATATTAATTACTAGAATTCTAACACATCTAGCATAACAGAGAGCCATAACGGCATGTTCGTTATTACCAAAGAAGCCTACATCAATTGAAGAATATCAATTTCACTAATCAATCGAATGTTTACCCACAACTTTCAAACACCTTCCACGCCACAGGACCACAACCCGACTTTTGCCAAGACGCTCGGACAAAAGTAAAAGAGAAAAGAAATCCGCCTCGATTCAACAGCTCTGATTTATCGTTCTAAGCATCCCACATCGAAGCCCCCCTCCGGCCGGCGTCTCGCAGCTATTCAACGCGTCTCAAACGCGATATTAAACCGACACCTCGTATCGATCTTACTTATCGATGCTATAGCTCAACCGTCGAACGGTAGCGCGTTTCGAGCGTATCACGTCTGGCAACGTGCCGCCGTGGTCTCGGGGACTACCTACTGGCCAGCAAAAAAGTGCTCGACGCTGCCTAGTCGGGGCGAACTTTATTGAATGAAAATGCCGGCTACGTTTTTGCCCCCGTCAGCATCTTTCGCGGGGACCGAATGAAACAATGGCCATTATGTGGAACACTCGCGATGTCCATATACATATATGCATGCGCGCACGTGTGTATTACATGTTTTTCAATTTATACCGGCGCACACAGATCCGACCACGAAGTATCGCGAGCGCGCGCACACGCTTGCCGTGCATACACTCGCGTGTTTCCTATAGAAATGCGAGCGGGGGTTAGGCGGCAAGGGGATGGGGTGGGGTGGAGAACGTGCACGGGACAGCTGTTCGTACTATTATACCCGACATGGTCACATTATGCCTTAAGGACAATCGTGGGAATTCCATTAAGTGGCCTTGAATGGTTCATTCATGTCGATCAACTCTTTTCCTAACAGGGTTGACAGATCAATCGAGCCCCGAGCACGAGCGATCCGCGGGATTTCTCCTGGCCTGCACGGTTTCTCCTCGCCATTCCGCTGCGCCGCTCCGCTCCGCGCCGCGCCACCTCGTCTTCGACGAAACTGAGACGCCAGAGTCAATTACCTCGCCGTGTACGCCGTACGAATCGATCTCTTGTTGTTGCTCTGCCCCGCTCTCGTTGCCTTCGGTATCGAACGAATCGAATGGTATTCCCTCCGCATCGTTTATAGTCGTCTCTCTCTCTGCCTCTCTTTCCTGCGCGGCCGATCGCGACACTGTCTCCGTTCGGCCTGACGGAGAGAATAATTGACTTCTGCTTAATCAGAATGTCGTTTCTGATTGTTTCTCTTGAACGAGTGTGTGTTTTCTAGGGAAGTGGGATGTTTGAAATTGCCGCGTTTATGGGTCGGATTCAGAAGGACGAGTTTTCGAAAGGACCGTTCGGAAGGATTGTTCGAAATACAGTCGGGAATAAAATTATATGGACAGGAGGGGACGCTATGTGTCAATGAATTTTAAAAATATTTATTTTATTAATTGCTTAATTCATAACAAATTTTAGTATGTGTCCACGCATTTTTGTCCACCAACGAATAGTTGAATTTTCTGTTTAATGTCGTTTACTTGTACACAAATGTAAATATTACTTCGAATTTTTCACTAAATGATATGCGTACTAAAGGGATATATAATAAATGAAACTTAATGATGTTCCGCTAATAGGAATGTGTTTAAATTGCATCGATACCTCTTACCATCGCCTGTCCATATAATTCTGTCCTCGACTGCATACACGCAGTATTTGTGTTTGTGGTTTTTATTGTCGAGATAGTAACGTATGTATTTCATTTTTTGTGAAAATTAAATGGTTTTTTTATTCGTTAAATTTATAGCTTGCTATTGTAATGTTTCAAGTATGGGAAGTTTTGTTTACTGACGGATGAATAATGGAAGGGGTAGTCATTTGTTGCAAGTGTGGTAATGAACGTATCTAAGATTTTATATCTTAACTTGATTAATTTTGCTGTAGTGATTTTCGATGTGCGTGATTAGTTAGTCAGTGATACTTATTATTGTTTTGTCAATTTCTTATTATATATATTGTATAATTTATATATAAATATAAATTTATATACATTACATTATATGTGCAGATATATAGTAAATATATTTGTGATGTTAATAAAGTTGATATTTTTATTGGGCGAGAACAATCTGTATAATCATTAATACAATCCAATAATCTATACGAATAAAAATAAATTCTACAATACAGTTATTTGAGCATGAGTTTCCTGGTTTTTCATGAAGGAAGTATTTATTTTCTTATTGCAATTCACATGTTTATTCTATGAAAGATGAGCAGTTGGTGTTTCATCGTTGATTTGTTATTCACAACTTTGTATCTAGATAAAGAATTTTCCCATCTTTATCAAGTGTGTAGAAGCAATTACTGGCGTATGAATTCCATAAAAAATAAATAGTGACTCGTGAAACTTTTATTCTTCTAATTTTAAGAACGAACGGCAATTCTTTGACGTCTACGAAATCGTTTCCTTTCAAAATCAAACCTTCCAAGAAATTATTAGATTATGTTGCTCAAAATAATTCGTTGATTTACGATTATAATTACTATTGTTATTAAAATATTTATTAAAAATCTTTAGCTGTTGAGACCGATATTGACTATTTTTAAAAGACTCTTAAATAGTCACTAAATTACTTCTTATTAGTAAAATAGTCACTAAATTGATAAAAATTACTTCTAATTTAACAATTAAATGGATAGTAAAATATAGTTTGACAATGTAGTTCACGTTACTGCGCTGCACACAATTTCTGATTAGAACAGATAATTAGTATTGTTTGCTAATGCGCAGAAATCGATAACAATAAGTGTTTCTATCTGTAATCTCGTCAGCTAATCTAAGAAAAATTTATAATGGAGTTTTTATAACTTCGAAAGGAAGTATTTACGTTAAACAGCTACTTTCTTATATTAACGACAATAATTATTATGTAAATTGTGTTTTGAATATGATTCCCTTATTTTTAATTGTAAGAATATTATTCGGATAAGTTAATGTTACTGTATTACATTTATGCCATTGTATTACACAGAATATTATAAAGTTAAAGGAACTTTTATTGACATTTGTATTGTTTGCAAATATGATTGATTTCTGTCAATGTTATTAATTGATTTACTTACCATTAAGTGTTATAGTCGATACTTCGAAACCATTCCATACTAATCGCGTTGAATGCGATGTATATTCTAATTATTTTGCCTTTTTTAAACTACTGCTATCCTTTACTTTGAATTTAAAATAAAAAATTAGAAACCTGTTTTATCGACAGTTGGCATTAAAAGTTTCGCTTCATGTGTTTTCTTTGCACAAATTTCAATGTTAAACCTGAAATACCAATCTTAAAGAATTCAATAAAACTGGCGTCCCAAGGGATTAATAAAACAAAACTTAAATAATTATTCCATTATATTCATTTACGAAACCATTCTAATTAGGTAAGTACTAATGGACAAGAAATGAAAATGATTGAAAAGGAATCACTACGCGTATTTATAAATATAAACGTGAATACGAACATTTCATACGAATACCTGTTAGACCACAGTCTATGATACTAGACCTATCTCACATCGATTTCTCTCGAGAACTACGTTTCATTTGCAATATCATTATTCCGAAAATCCACCTAATTCCTCAGCTACCAAACACCTTATATAAAATCAACCGTTCTTCAAACATACCGTAAACTTCGACCCACATTGTATTAACACGTGCACGCGATAAAAGGTTTACGTACCAAGATGTGACTCGAAGTTTCGGCCGCCCGGCGACTTTACATTTCCAAATAAGAACAATTTATCGCGATTCACACGAGAAGCGGGTATTCGTTCGAGCGAAACGATACACTGCGCGATTTTATTGCTCGCGCGAACGCGACCGGATGTGCAGCGATTTCACCGTTAACCGTAGGCATAAACGGGAGAACTAATGATTAATAAATCGTTTTCGAATTTATAGGATGCTGGATAATTATGACAGGGGTGAGGTGACACCACCACCGGTGAGCAGTTATGGCGGTTCACCCGGACTCTTGGCACTTCATTCCTCGCTTTATGCGACTCCCACGTCGAGGGCCTACGACATCGAGTCGAATATCGATGGCAATGACAGCTCCATGCCCATCGATACCCAAATCATTTCGGTACGTGTTCAACGTGTTTCGCTCACCGCGGAACATTGCTCTTGAAACAGGCTCCTATAATTTTTCATACGCGAAACGCTCGCTCAGCTCGAACCTGGCACGCACACCTACGACGCTGCAACTATAATACTTTACAACGTTCTTGGATGTCTTCTGTGAAACTCTATAAAACGAAGGGATTGACGCTCCCATACGAGGATGATGCACAGCCTTGAACGCGAATTTGTTACTTTTCAAAGAAATCATTGTACATCGGACAAGTTGAACGGAAATCTATAGATTTTATATATTAACCTTCGACCGTTCGTTTTCGCTCGTCTGCGTCTATTTTGTTCGGTTTTTCTATATTGTTTTCGCGTTTGCTTTTATCACATGTTCGACTTTAAGAATCAAATAGATGAATGTATTTGTGGAGTAGCTTGTCTTCGAAATTAAGATCGTTCCGTCGTTTATAGTTGGCATATTTACTATGTACGAAAATAAACATTCTAATTGTAATTTGATACGGCTATTCACATATTAGATGAACGTTGTAAGTTTTCTAATGAGACGGTTAATGGGTGTGATCATGACATTTATGTGTTAATTGATGAAAATTTAGATAGACATGAATCCGATTTAATTAAATGTTTCATTGAATTCTGGTCGTGGTTTACACCTTGTTATAAATATATGAAGCGCGTATAGTATGCTTATAATTATTATTGATAGAATCAATTTTCTAATCGAGTGATTTACTTCATGTTTTACATGTTTCAGATAAAGGCAATTAATTTTTAGGTGTACCCATGACTTTTTCTCGCGTTATATTATTAAGAAAAATTAACCTGCTTCCAGCAAATATATGAGGAGACCTACCTGGTTCTTAATTAAGAGATCTCTGTAAATTAGTAATTTTATTGCAGTCAAGTTATTTTAATTTTAAGATTGAAATTATATTTCGAATTATATTTCAAAACATAAATTCTGTGACATATTTTACATGCAGGGAAATATAATTATTGAAAAAATATCATTTTCTGCGGAATAATACAGCATTTATTCGAAATCGTGGACATTTCAACTAGTTTGATGACAAAAAATCAAACATCCAAAAAAGTATTTTCAGGGGCATGATTCTGAACAACTTTTCCTCATACATGTTTTCACTGCTTTGCCTTAGTTTTCGAGATATTTGTAAAAACAAGTAAAAAATAAAAGTAAATCACACCGATTTCAATGATTCGAGAATTTGTAACGTTATATTCGAGTATGACATTTCGTTTGACAATCCACAAAAACTTTTATCTCCGGATGTTTCAGTTGTTTGCAATCGAGTTGACCAACAATCGATATGTTTTACGAAAAGAGGTTCCGAAGCTAGCGAATAACTGCGCCATTTTGTACCATTTTGACTCAGAAAAAAAATAAATACAAAGAAGAAAGTTACAACTACACAACCAAAAAAAAAATCAAAATATTGCACTTAATAGTACTTAACAAAAAAGTTCATAAAATTTACGTGTATTTAGACGCCCCTAGGTGGTGTCCACCCTTAAGGTAAATGCACACTAACAGTTTGCGGGAAAATGTCGCAGCTGTGATTGTTTTGGAAGAATAAAGATATAAATCTTATTTTTCTTAATGTGAGATAGAAGGACTTTGTTTCTGTTACTCTAAAATAATCCTCGCTGCGACAATTTCTCGCGAATTTGTCGTGTGTATTTGGCCTTAATCGGCGCCACACGAGTCTCGTCCTAAAACCCGATCCCCAACATTATTGAATGGTAAACTCGATGGAAGGGTCACTCATTGATATCGTTTCTTAACCCTTTGCGGTCGACTGCCGCAATAATGGCGACTTCAAGCTTCGGTATCTACAAAACAAAGAGCTACAAATGAATTATTAATATAACGAGTTTAATTATTCATATAACGAGAAATTGACATATGGTTTATTATTTCACAATATTTAATATTTTTTATGCATAATTTACTTTCTTATGAAAACAGCTTCAGGAGTTGAAACAATTTTCATCCGTAAAGGAGTTAATTAAAATTACTTAGATAATTATTTAAGAGTTATCGAAATCGGTTCCCTTTCGACAAGTGTACTCAAAATTAAATGCAATAAATACACCTTAAGTTACCGTGGGGCTGGTTTAATGTGTAACAGAATTTATAATTATGAAAGTTATTAGACACTTCTAACCAAAACATAACTTTCAAAATGTGATGTATAATATCAAATATTATAATTATAATGTTATATTAATATAAATTCAATCACGGTAACAAGTATATGGAAAAATTTAGAATGATAATCTTCGCAACATATTTCAAGGTCATTGCAATCAGTGAGATCGCCACGATTCAAAATAATTGTCAAAGATATTAGATCATTGTTATTCTTTTGTTATGTTCATTAACTATCTTGGACAAAATAATTTAGGGTCCCGCACGGAAATATAATAATGTTCTTTTTCATTTCTTACTTTCGTAAAAAAGTAAGCAGCAATTAATTAAAATACTATTTCAAAACATTGCGACAAGTAATTTTCTCTCGTAAACCAAATAGGCTTAAATATTGAATTTGAGTTAAATTTAGTTTACTTTAAAGTGCAAATACATTCATTATAGTCTAAAATAAAAGATAAATTAAAATATCTGAAATTAACAGCACAGTAAAGGATAAGAATAATAATCTAGGTCATAAGGGATCGAAATAAAAGACACGAAAACAATATCGATTATTTACCATATACTGCTTGAAATAACATCGTAGTCAACGTTGGTCATTACAAACTTACCGTTCTCATATAACACATAAATGTAGCTCAGCTTCGCCGTAAACCCTTTTTCCATGCGCCCCAGAGATCCGTCAATCCCACGAAGTCATCATTATCGCGCGATATATTATTTCCGTGCATCTTCTGATCACATGCGCATTATTCATTTTATTTTATTACAATAGAAGTCGGTTGGCCTCAGGATCAGCACTTTTTTTACTCAGCATTGTTGCCGGTCCCCGTCCGTTCGACCGCCATTCATTAGCCGGCCGATTAGTATCTCCCGGTAATTACCGTATTAATGGAATCGAGCGCGAATATCGAGCTCAACTTTCACCCGTTTTTGACTAATAAGCATTATTAATTATCGGGATTAGCGGAAGGATGATCGTTTTTGTCGGTGACTCATCCGGTCGATTGCTTTGGGAAACGCTTCAGATACCGGGAATGTTGTCCGGGCCGGCGCAGCAGCGGCTCGAGGACATGACATGGCTCGCTTCCGGCCCGTCCCTCGAATATCAACAAGGGATTTCGCCGATTCCCGCAGGAGTGAAGATGTGCCATCCAGGCAGCACGGCCCAGAGGAGCCTGAAGGAGCAACGGATACGTCGTCCGATGAACGCGTTCATGGTCTGGGCAAAGGTCGAGCGCAAGAAGTTGGCCGACGAGAATCCTGATCTCCACAATGCCGATCTCAGCAAGATGCTCGGTAAGTTTGCACTGGATGTTACAAACTTTGTACAGCTTTCAATTTATTCGGCTTTCAAATCTATATTAAAAAGATTATGGTTTCAAGCAAAAACTATAGTTTCAAGAGTGAAACCATAAAATATCTTCCTTTAATATTTGCTTATTACAAAGTTATGCACCTTTAAGCGGAATCGCATTTTCTTACGACGTCAACTCGATTTTTAGTTTTTATTGCAAAATTATATGAAGATTTGGCTAAAGTGTCATTTGTACATTAAAGTATAGATTATAGAATTCACAGCAATGACAAATAAGGTGTAACCATAAACATTGCCGGCGGAGGGTTAAGAATAGAACTTGATGGACAATACCATCGTCGAATGATTTGGTCAAATTTCAGGCACTTAATTATCAAAATAAAGTGGGGCGTATTCCCAAAAATTGATGCATGGAAGATATTTCGATCACTTTAATCCTTTGCGCTTGGAAGTTTCTCATTAGAAACATTCGACACTGTCCGATGAAACATAGACGACACTATTTAAAACGAACTAATGAGAAAACATACGTAAATTAAGAAATAAAGTTATTTTATATAAATATTTCACATATTGATGAATTATACAAAATTTAATATCATATATAACACTTTGTAATTTTGTTATGTCAAATCAAATGGTGACTTATTTAGATTGTATATTTTAAATTTGTATACAACAGAAGGAAGTAGAGTACACAGAATCAAGAGACGGAATATTTTTTACTGCATTGTCCAATATATCTTCATTTCAATTGCATTAAAACCACACGTTTCATTCGTGTTGTTATAAGTGTAATGATGGTAGACCTTTATGTTTTAATAAAACTATGAAATACACAATGATTCATACGAATTTTGTCCATAATCATTTTGATTTATTTAAATGAGTTTCGGTAATTCGAGATTAAAAATTTCTCCAGAATCGTTCTTTTAAACTACACATTAGTACGAGCAAGAAGCAAATAACACGGCACAAGAAAATCCTCATCGAATATAAAAACCCTGAGTAGGTTTTCCCAGAGTCATAAACGCAAAGATTTAGTTTAGAAGCTAACGAAGTTAGTTTTTACGCGATAATGGGATTTTTTATGCCGTATGTTATAGAAAGTATTTAATATCGAACATATCAAACAATTTCTTAAACATGAATTCCGTAGTGCGATACACATTATACGATTGTGTAAGAGAATTCTTATCATTTAAATAATGAATTTTTCATGTCACTTTTGTTTTCGGAAGTTTGTATTTTCTTTTACGGTATGTGCATAGCAGATTCGAGTTTAGTAGAACAATTTTGCCATTTTTTATACTTTTCATAGCACATGGTAAAAAAGTATAAGACACGTTATTCATACGAGGGCTGTGTTCATCCTTCATTCTCGAAATATCAGCAATTCTAACAATCATTTTGAACTTATATTTTGTTATTTTCTCGCTCTTTCTTATTGTTTATAGGGAGCTTTGTTAACTGAATAATCTAACAATGCAAAAATTTCAAACAAAATAATAGAAAGGGTTAAACTACTATTATACATGTACATGCTGGGTTATCTGTTATGATCGTCTTAATTTACATGGTGTTATTTACAAAGGAAAACAGATTAAAGTTGCATAGTTTTAAAAAGGATATCAAATGGATCAAATGAGATTTTTATTTCTATATATCGGACTTTTCGATAAAATCAAAAGTAACTTTTGTTTTTTTAAGAAAGAATATATACGTAACTCTTTATAGCAAAGTTTTGATACATTTTTTAAAATATAAGCACTTAAAGTGTTGGTGCTTGAAGATAGACCAAAATTGAAAAATGATCATCACTCTATTCTGTAGTTAATAACTGAATATTAGCTTACTATTACTACCATTAGCATAACAATAACGATTGTATTCAGCGACGTTATGCAGCATAAACAGTTAATTACTTAATCGTTGTTATAATGCAGTGTTTCATTTGTGTTAAATTTTGATTTGTGTTATTCGGTTGTCATTAAATACATTACACAATATAAGATAACTGATATCTTATAAAAGTAAACAGTATTGTGATGTTAATGATCATCGCATTGAATTATACCTGCAAATAATCGATTTCTTTTTAATGGAATCAGTTCTGAAATGTGTTGATTACAATTAATTCAAGTTTTGAATTTACGCGGACATTTATGAAAACTGACACATTGTTTAAAGCCCTATACATTTATAGCCGAATATATTATTTAAAATAACACTTAAGCACTGAGAAATTCCGGGATACGAAAAACGTCAAATATCGTACACTGTATGAAGTCATTTAGTGAAATTTAATTCCCTCCGATACGTTGAGAACAAGTCGATTGAAAAAGTTTACATAACATTACAGTTACTACATTAAAAATATTTGATTTCATACGTCGTAAACTAGGGAAACTTTATACAAACAAAAACGTCACTTTGACTTTACAGCACAAACAAGTGCCAATACGTGACAGAGCGTTCAAGAGTTACGAAAAAAGTAAATTATCCTAGATATATTTCGATTCGAAGCAATTTGTACAACCCCAGCAGTACATCCGTTCATAACTGGTACCCTTCGATCGTCGAAACTATGCTTCATTGAGAAGAATATTCGATGGCACGGTCGGCCGTCATCTAATGAAGTAGGTTACTGAATACAAAGAAGTTGAAGAATCGTTGAAAATAGAAACTAAACGAGCGTAGCGGCAGAAAAACCTTTTTCTCTTGAAAAACGGGTCACGAGACAGCTGTGGGAATAAGAAAGTCGGAAAAGTCTGTTTCGCGGCGCGCTGGTGTTGTTATTAATTTAATTACTCGTCGCACGATCAAACGTGAATGGAGATCCGAGCAGGAAGAAAGAAAGGGGGAGCAATCAAAGGAGACTGCCGAGCGAATTTTCTTCGCCGTGAACTCGTCGTCGCTTTGTTACGCGGCCCGAAGAGATTTGCATTTTTATAGTCACCAGCCGCGAAATTAAGCTAAAATAGAATTTTATCTGCCGCATTAACGGTTTTCGCCGAGCAGAAAAACGATAAATATGAAACGACGCGAAATACTATGAGAAGCTTTTTGCCGTATCATTTTTTTGCGGGATCTTTATAAACTGCCGCGTAAAAATCCGCGGTTTAATGATAAATTAAACCCGAAGGCGGTTCAAACGAAAGTTCAGATTGTTGGCAAAGGATCGCGACCGCGTGACTGGTTATAGTTCTGCGCGGTTTAATTAGACCTCTGGCAGCGCGACTTCAATTCCAGTCCTTCCGGCCAAGATTTCCTTCCCCGTAAGCACGCAGTTTTATGCCCATCCGAGAAAATTACAAAGATATCGAGTAGCGCAATTTAATACGTCGTAAATTCGCTGTCGCGACTCGAAGCGCATTCGCTTCCTTACGTAGGTGCCAACGCGGTGCATTAATATTAAAAGGCATATGCGCGATTGAATGTCAAGAGGTTTAGCCTTCTATCATCGTCGTTGTTTTTCGATTAAGTTGTTCGACGATTCTCGCTGCGTTTTTTCCCCCCGCTAAACTTTTAAAAGGACATATACGCGCCATCAGAAAATTGTGTTAAAATTTTTATGAGACCAACACTCGAAACTTCGTTTCTTTTATTATTCAGACGTAACGGCGGCTAGGCGATAATCGTTTTATTTTGTAATCGCTTCCTGCTGTGTTCACAATGAACGGATTGAGACTTTACTGAAATTGTATCTTGAATATTCGACTGATGAATGTGCTAGAACGTTGATGCATTCCGATAAGGACTGGTTTCTTCGTGTGTTTATGTAGAGTGCAATCTTTACGTAGCAATATTAATAACATTGTCCTTTCTACTGATTTGTCCTTGTATCATATTTGATTACTTCTATTTTACTGTGTAGAATTATGAACGAAAGTTTATTTAGTTATACTTTTAAATTCATAACTCAATGAAATTCGAATTTTTGGAAAATGATACTTTATGTTCGAATTATATCATCTTGAATATTTCTAAGTAGTATTTTGTACTTGAATTCAAGTGTCTCTTTCATTAGCAGTAACGATAAAGCACGTTGTAAATTTATTCGGATGTCCCTAGAGGCTAACGTCAAATTATGTATTCAAGTAATAGCAGTACTGAAATTAAGAGAAGGTTATAATCATTTCCGTTAATATTTTACTAAATTGTTGTACACGTAGCGTGTAAAGATATACGAATGAACATACTTTTTAATACAGTATACGTTGATAAAGGTTTTGAAGCAAAATTTTAAGTAATATTTTTTAAATGTGTTTTTAAAAAAATACATTTAAATAATCATCTTTTAAGTAACTATCAATTAGTAATAGTGTATATTATTATAATAATTTATGTATAAGACTAAAAGTCAAATATTCGTTCTTTTGTAGCTGTTTAAGTAGAAACATTATTTAAAACACTTATTTTTGAAAGGATTTATAACTTGTGATAATGTATTACAATTGATAATGAAAATCTTCTTTTGTCTGCATGGTGGTCTCAGAGCAATATCATTTTATATCTTCTTTAACATAGGAAGAACACAACAGTAATAACATAATTTTGTTAGGAAACTGTTTCGACTGAGGAAGAATGTTAATGAGTGTTTACTTGCCAATCAAAACGTTAACACGGTTCAATTAACTCCTTGCCTTATAGTAACATGCCAGACTCGTGAAGATTTTAAACAGAATATAACAAGCATACATATTACCGAATTTTTGTAAATTCGAATTAAATGTTACTCTTCTGTTATCAGTAATTATACTTTAGAGCAAACATGGACATAGAATACAGCCAGAAATTTGCTCGTTTTGTTTCAATTTTTCCAAAAGATGTATTGCGATGAAGGCTAACGATGCATTTACGTTGGAGCTGCAATGAACAATGAAAGCAGCGATGATAATAAAACGTAGAAATACAGATTTGTCGCTACTGTCATTTATTTCATGTCATTGCCACTTTTATCGGCGATGTCCTGCGAGAC